TAGATCCTCTGAACTGTGACAGAGGTCTCACTCTGGAGGAAACTCTCAGCACTTTCCAGCAGCTCCTCCATCATGGAGGACGTTCCCTCACTGTAACAGGTGGAGGAGAGAGGAGAGGAAGCACAGGTGGATCCTCTGAGGAAGAGGAGCGTTCTCACAGTAATGTTACAACATGAAAAAACAAAGGACATTATCACATAGTATTAAAGTATATCACATCAGTCCATGCTGTCCCCTCACTGAGTGTCTTAACATTATTTACTCAGTAACCAACATGAACTTGTATTATCAGCAAGTGTGTGTATTTTTTTTGGTTAGAATATCAAATTAGTTTTTGATTGTTTTTGTGCAGCACTTTGGTCAGCTGTTAAATTGTTTAAAAGTGCTTTAGAAATGAAGTGAAAGTGAAATAAAGAAATGTGATAATATCGATCCTTTGAGACCCCACATTCAATGGTTTTACTGTGAGATATTACAGGTGTCTATCGCTCCCTTCCATACACCTGAGTGCTGTGGCCCTGACACCATCGTGGTATAAGCACCAATAAAAGTCCACACTCATCTTCATTATGAAGGTCGACGGCAGAGTGTGAGCTCATCTCCATTAAAAGCATCCTCAGACCTGGACTGAGATTCAGAGTGAGAGGAGAGCTCAGGGACCATCTACAAAGTGCAACACCAACAAAAAAACCAATAAAGTTTGGTGACTGTGTTTTTAATGGACGTCTACTTTAAATTACTTCCTCAAAGTGTGTCGAGTTCATCACTGTAAATGTACATATTAGTAAAAATGGTTTGATAAAAGCAGATCATGAGGAATTTTTAGATTTTTCACTGTGAGAAGAAGTTATTTAATAATTCTAATTTAAAAAGATCACATTTGTATTTATTACGGCAGAATGATGGACAAGATGGCCCTGCAGTATAAAGCGATCTGGGAGAAATGCCACTGTACATGATTGGAGCAGCAACGTCTTTGTGGTGTTGCACTTTGTAGGCGGTCCCTGAGCACTTCACTCCACCCAGCTGCACCTGGAGCCAAGCGGCGTTTATTTCACATCCACCTTGATGTTGTGATTCACGCGCTGATGGTGTCCTTTCTGATGTGTTATTGATCCTGGAAGTTCAAATATGTGACATCATTTCAAACTTAACCCTGAAAAGTGACTAATATGGTTCTTTAAATGAATTAAATGATAAACTTGATCCACATGCTCATGATAATGAAACGTGATCCACACTGAAGCCGTCATATTTCAGCTGCTTTGGAATCAAATGGAGCTTTTGCCACAGTGAATTCAGGGGCAGATCTAGAGAGATCTTCTGAAGGTTCCACTGAAATCAAATGAGGTGGCAAAATTAAAGAAATTTCTTCATACATATGGTGCCACATCCTGCATTATATATGCTTAAAATACATCATATGCAGTTAGTATACACATTTTTCATATAAATATAGTGTATAACCTTCCTATTTTCTTTAGCCCACATAATAAACTTTCCAGTTACATAAAACATCTGAATTTATGTATTGTAAAGTTCATATAATAAATTATGTTGCGTGATGAACTCTGTATTCCTCGTGCACACGTAAACGCAAAAAAGGAGTTTTAAAAAAATCTCTGTTGGGGGAAAACTCTGTAAAAAACCCAGGAGAAATAAAGACACAATGAGACAAAGTTACTTTCTTTGCTAAACGTGTACACGGGTGAGCTGCTGAGAACAACTCACGTCGTGAACAGAGGCTTGGCACTTTTTATAGGAAAGACAGTGAGAACAGGATAAGAAAATAATAAACAGATAAAA